CGGATCCGACGACCCCGACGAGGAGGTCACCGACCCCGACGAGGAGGTCACCAACACCGAGTGGCTCTTGAAGATGGGATTGAAGCCGTAACAGGACCCTGATCCAAAGCCGTTAAAATTGATCCGAGAAGCCGTTACGACCCTGGTTTGTGTTAAATTTTATCCGAAGCCGTTATGACCCTAGCCTGCATTCAATTTTACCTTCTTCGGATAAAGCCGTTACAACCCAAATATCACATACAACACCCAAATATCACAAATAAGATCTAAATATCACATATAAGGTAGAACTGTCACATATAAGATTGAATTGTCACATATAACATTAAAATATCACATGATATGCTTATTGTCACATTTACAGTTAATTGTGATACATATATGTTCCCTCATTTTCCCATTTAACCTTGAATAACTAAGAAAATAACAACACTCCCATTTAACCATCTTTTGTTCTCCTTCTCATCATCATTATCAGCAACAGAGCCCCAAGAACTGTGAAGATTCTGATCGGACAGGCTCGAGTGAATCTGCATCATTCAAGCCCACACATCTGCCTCAATGCCTTCTCAACCTCCTCCTCGTACCTAAACATCATATAAGAATCATGTGTATGAAAAGGATATAAACAATCATACCTCTTAAATTTAACAATTCATCAAAAACGCATCTTTATCTTCTGCTCTAATTTTGATCAGTACTATTCTACAGGTTAGAAGGGGGGAATTAGATTAAAATCGAGGGAATAAATGGTAAAAAATAGGTAAAATAAAGATAAAATTAGCAAAATTTAAGCCATAAACAGCCAACAACATATCTGACGTGATCTGACTCGGATATGAAATTTGGGGGGAAAATATAGAAAAAAGGCAATTGATCTTAATTTCAAGCGATGGATATGTTATGAGATCTGCAAAATATTAAATTATAAGTGACCTACATTTAAGAACAGAGTCAAAATATGACGAAGTATATCTATTCTAGATAAATCAGAGAGATAGCTACATTAATGGATGGAAAAAAATTAGCAAATAAAACTTTTCATAAAAATTCAAAGAGTAGGGGGCAAAAATCTAGTTGAGATAACCCATCAAGAAAGAAAAGTAAAATTCTTCAACGCACCCAAAAGGGTATAAAATATTCTTTAAAAATAAAGATAACACCCACTACCAGCAACCGAGGGGAAACAAGAAGCAGAAAACCCAACAACCCGATTTATTCTCTCAACTAAAATTAAAATTACAAAAAATTACCTATTATGATGGGTACTCGTGGAATCTCTCGAGCGCATACAAGCCCTAAGATTAGATCCTCTACTGTACCCCCCACCACACGGCGGAGGCATCGCCGCAGCCACCGCCGCGGCGATCCTCTCAGCTCCGGCGACGGTGATTGATTGGGGCACCGGCGACGGGTCGGGTTCGGTATCGGAGTCGGAGGTCGACATGATTTTTTAAGGGAAAATTGGTTGGAGGAACCAAAAATAATTGCTGGAGGAGGAAAGGGATTGTAGAGTATTTTTTTTGTTTTAAATTGGGAAGGGAAGGGTAATTTGGGAATGAGTTCATTGGACAGTGAGATTATACAGTGTTTGGGGGTTGGTTGCACTTATATTTTTATAAAAGGATTTTTTGGTTATGCTTTTTGGGCTTGGGGTGGGGATGAATGACCCAACTTAATTTGGTTCCCCCAAGCAATTTTCCCAAAAATAAATGGCCATGAAAGGGGAGGAGAGGGATCCAATAAAGATCCCGATCTCCAATCCTCACCATGGCTATGGCACCTTCCCACAAACACCAGCGCCATCTGCTCCTCTTCTTTACCCTCAGCAGCAACAGCATCAACAGCAACATCCCTTTCCCTATCATTCAACCCCAGGTTCTTGAAATTTCTCCATGACTCATTATCAGATTACAGCTCTATTCTTTGTTTTTTCATGTGGGTTTTTTATATTGTTCATCGGTTGGTAATTTGTGCGTGTGTGTTTTTATTTTTTATTTTATTTTATTTTTTGCAGTTGGGTATCAACCTGTTCCCTATACTGTTGGGGTGCAAGAAGGAATTCCTGTTACTCAACCCCGGCTTCCCTTTTGTGGCATTGGCGTTGGATGGGCACTGTAAGACTGATTTTTTTCATTTTGATTTTTTTGGGGGAATTTATGCTGCTAATTGTTTGCAACTTAGTCCAGTTTGTTTGTAACTTGATTAATTTAAACCTGGGAGAATTATGATTTAGGATCGCTCATCTAGGGGTGGTGAAGTATCGAA